CGGGGGGACGAGGCGGCTGCTGCAGAGCTGGGCTTCGGCAGCGCGGCCTGTGGGGAGCGCTCGGCGCCTGCGGACGGTCCTGGGGGGCGCTGGCGCTGCCCGCGCGGGGCGGGCGCGGCCGGCCCGGGGCCTGGTGTCTCGGTTCTGTGCCGTGAGGAGTTGAGCAAGGAACGGGAATCTCTGTGTTCATAGCGCTCCATGCAGCTAAGAATAACGTATTGTACTGTTTAATTCAATTCGACAGTTGAATGATGTTGAAGCATGTATTTTAATTAATGTATAAGCTTTGAAGGCAACTCAGAGCCGCGTCAAAACAAAGTACTATTAAATGTAGTTTGTAGAGCCTTGGAGGCCATGCTCTATCTGCTAGTTTTCAAAGCTATGTTATAGCACCAGTCAGTTATGGATTATAACTGATAATGTTGAAGTTCAGCCCTATAGGTTTACTTGAAAGCACCAGTGCAAATAAGGTGGTTTTTTTTCTTCTGTGTAGAGATCTAAGTGTCCCCTCTTACCAGCTGACTTCTATGACATCTGAATCTTTTGCATTCTATTAAGTGATAAAGGAACTTGCAAATGAGGAGAACAGACTATGTTTTTCCTCAGATTACCTGTCAGGTTCCTAACTGATGTTAGTGCTCAGTCTATGTAAGCCTTCACTGTATTTCCTGTGGAAAATGTACTGTTGGTTACAAAATGCAAAATACAAACAGGAGTGACTTTGTCAACTGTGCTAAAAGGCCAAAGTCCTTGTTTTTAAAACATGATGGCCAATTGGCAGGATCACATAATTCTATTCAAGTAGCATGATAGCATGCAAGGGAATTAAGCAGTAAGTTGACTGTTTTTAATATGCAGTTGCATTACAGATGTAATGCTTAGTAGATGTTTTAAAACTGGATTCTCAGATGCTTCATAACCAAATTACTGATACCAATAAGCATCTTAGCCTTCTCCTTAGACAGTGCTAATATTCATCATTGAAGTTGCTTACTGTCTTTTCAGTGCAAGTTTTCAAGTGTACACAGGTGTTAACGTATCTACTGTGTGTTTAATTATTAAACCTCTACAGACATGTGATGCTGCCAAGAGAACTTTCAAAACAAGTGCCAAAATCCCATCTAATGTCTGAAGAAGAGTGGAGGCGACTTGGCGTTCAGCAAAGTCTTGGCTGGGTTCACTATATGATCCATGAGCCAGGTAAGGACATCTGAACAGAATTATATGAACAAAAGAAACTTAAAGTATCAAGTGCCTGGTGCTCGACTGAAGTGTGTAGTGCATAATTGCTTCTGATGTAGAATGCAGATGGAATTCACTACTGAATGTTTGGATTCCTCTTTATCTCCTTACTATCATGTCTTCCTCCCAGAGCTGCAGAGCTGTGTAGCCTGTGGTCTATCAGTAGACAAAACATGACAAACTGGAAATGGAGCCTATCTCTGCCTATAGTAATAGCTTATTGTGAGCTCTTGAAGCTGACACGCCCACTTTTTTACAGAAAAACTTAATAGATCCTCGTGGACAAGGTTCTCTATTAATGCTCTGAAAAGGCTACAATGTAGTTTGAGCTCTAGTAGCATAGCCTACAACAACCAGCACTTAAAACCAGTGTTTCCATTAATGAGATGTGAAACCCCAAAATGAGCAGCTACAATGTACCGAAAGCAGCCGTTCCAGGTAACTTACCACTGACAAGCCTGACTGAAAACTAACTGATAAGTGCATTGCAGAATCACAGAGTTCCAAGTTTCTGAACAAATGGGTGAAGAACCAATGGTTCCTCTTACCTAGGTGCCTTTGATACCTTTTGGAGAAGTTTGCAATTGAGTCAAATCAATAATAATGGAAGCTGGCTGTATTAACTAAAGTAGCTTTTGTTGATGCTTGACATTATGTACCTAACAAAGGCAGCACCAGCAGTTTTGTAAGGCCAAGGTACAGTAACAAAGGTCATCAAATCGCCTAATGTAGAGCGATGGAGTTATTACAAATACTAACTAAAATACTTTTTCCATTTCTTTCTTTGCTGTAAGTATCTTGACTTTAAGATGCTGCCAATATTTGGTAAAACATTTTCAAAGGTACCTGTTTGACTGTTACAACATTACTGCAAAGTTGGTCTGTAATAGTACACTGGATCATATTTCTGGACTTAATCTGTTTATTATTTGACAGCAAGATTCAACTATTGTTCAAGACTTCTTAAATGGAAGAAAACCCTGCAAACAAGACTTCGGTGATAAACTGACGCTTTTTAAAATTTTATTTCCACAGAACCCCATATTCTTCTCTTCAGAAGACCTCTTCCAAAGGATGAGCAGAAATGAACCATTGTCTATAAGTCTCCTAAATCTTCTGGAACTATGTATATGACTGTATATATCTTGGTAGTATTCAGTGAATACTTTAAAATGTACAAAACACATAGCCATACCTGTGCATGAGCTGTATTATTCACAGCAACAAAGCTCAGTCAAATGCAATTCCAAGTAGGCTGCTATGATGTGCAAAGAGTGTTGAAGTTATCTTTATTGTTAATGTAAGTGCCTGTCTTTTCAATGGAATTTGTTTATTAAAGTTTACCTGTTGCATGTTCTGATTAGATGATCACTTATTACCTCTGTTCAGTAACTTTTGCACTCAGCTTTTCTGCTGGTTTGTAGCTTTTTCAAATTCAGTGGCTCACCTTTTTAGTAGTAAAGAAATAAACTCTTATTTTTAATGCTCTTTAAAATCTGTGTCTAGAGTTCTCATTCACCAAAGTAAACAATTCATGGTCTCACATATTCAGTGCCTACTTCAGAAAAAAAATAATTTAATCTATTTTTCTCTGCAAGAATGATTTTGCCCTACAGGCAAAATCCTTGTTCCTAAGCCTGATTTTTCACTGGGAACTGCAGGCAACCTGGAAAGAAAGCCAGCACTGGTAGGTGATACTCAGACTGGCTTCTGATGTGCTGAGGTAATGGGACTCTGTAATTGATGTAGGTTGTAATGAGATGAATTATTCTGTAATGACTACTTGTCATCCTACTTCTCATGAGGTAGAGGTGATAGGACACAAGGGAAAGAAAGGCTTAATGCTGTGTCAGGGGAAGGTCAGGCTGGATATTAGGAAAATGTTCACTGAGAAAGTGGTCAAGCACTGGAAAAACCTTCCTGGGGAAGTAGTCATGGTCTCAAGCCTGTTGGTGTTCAAGAGTGTTTGGACAACAAATACTCTTGGAGATGGAGATTGTTTAACTTTGAGGCTGCCCAATGTATACTCAGAAGTTGGCCCTTGTGGGTGCCTTTATAACTTTGGATATTCAATGATGACTTGGTATAAGTAAGTCTTAAGGTGTTTAGTAATACATAGTATTTCAGAGATATTTTCATCCTTTTTTTATTTATGGTAGTGACAGTTTACCTTTCTGGTGTGAACTTTTTAGTCTGGGGTGTTAGCCTGCTCTTCTTGTCTTGAATCTTGCTTTTTCTGGGAAGATAGCTTGTATTGTCTTTGTGTAGCTTGTAGGGGTTTAGATGTGTTGTCTAAGTAAAATGAGTGTTTTTCATCTGACAAAAGCAGCTGCTGGATTTAGGACAGTATGAACTCTGTTTCCTTATCATGTAAAAGATCAGGGCTTTACCAGGTAAAGGGGTAGTGAGACTTGGATTAGTGCTTTTCTGCTAATATGTGCCAACAGAGGTGAACTTTTGGACAGACTCTGACAAGTCTAGAGGTAATAAATTGCAGATAAATGGCTGCTGTGGCATCTTGGCACCCTCGACTAGTAGCCATAAAATCAGGCATTTTTAAAGACATGCTTCAGTCTATTTGCTGTTTTAATAACTGTATGGTACTGGTGGTTGCATCTGCTTCATTTAAAATGCAAGCTAGCATTACATCTGTATAGGACTTGGAAGGCCAACAAAACTGGCAACATCTTCGTGTAGCTTAATTGAAAATGTACAGGCCTTCCCCATGCAATATGTGCATGCAAGTAAGGTTATTACACCTGCCAAGTTTAGTGAGCAAAAATAACTCATTTTTCCTCTAATACAGCTGTCCATCTTTGTGCTGGTGAAACAACATGCAAAAGGCTCTCAGTGCTGAAGTGCGAGACTTCATAGCTTTCATCTCTAGAGTGGGTAGCAGACCCCTTAATTAGAAGAACCACCGGTAACAAGCTTGTTGAGTTGTGCTTAAGCCATGTTTTTCCGTAGAGCTTTAGCATCAGTCCTGGTGTTGGTGATCCTTCAAAGGCTTTCTGGCTGAACTGTCGCCTGTGCCTCCCTCTCTGCCCCTTCCCTTGGGGGACGAAGATCAGCTGTACAAGCC